ATGTGTGTATGTGAAAGAGAGAGGGAGAGAAAGTGAGAAAGAAAGCCACTAGGTCCAGGACTTGAACTGCAGTCTGCCATGTGGGGGTCCAGCGCCCTTAACCACCATGCCACCTGCTGGCCCCAAGTCCCTTGTCATTGTTTTATTATTATTATTTATTTATTTAATTCCATTTGTTATTATTTTTTAATTTGACAAGAGAGAGACAGAGAGGGAGAAAGCAAGTCACCGGGTCCGGGACTTGAACCACAGTCGACCATGTGGGAATCCAGCACCTTTATCCACCATGCTACATGCTACTTGCCAGCCCCAGTCTCTTGTTGTTTTAAAGTGCAGCTTTCTCTGCCATTTTATTCACAATAAGCACGTATACATGAGAGAGAGAAAGAGACAGAGACAGAAACACCCTTCATGGGGCCTGGTCATGCTATGACCCTCTTCCTCCAGTTCTCTATCTTGTTGGATTGTAGGCACTCATGTGTGCTTGCTCAGAACATTTTAGGACATCTGTGCTGGGGATTCAAACCACAGTCACCACATGGAATCCAGCTTCTCTTGAGCAGCACATTACTACTGTGCAACAGAGCCAGCCCCAGCACCATATGTTAAAAAGGCTATCCTGGAGGGACCAGCAGTTAGCGTAATGGCTATGTCACTGGACTCCCACGTAGTCGACTGCGGTTTGTGTCCTGGATCCGGTGGCTTAAAACTCACGCCGGGTGCATGTGCGTGCATGCCCAAGATCCTGAGAGGAGAATGGAGAAGGGATTGCCTTGTGGCCATCCCCACGCCACTTTCCCTCTGTCTCTCTCCTGCAAGTGCAGGCACCCTGTGTGAAACAAACAAACAAACAAACAAAAAATATATATATATCCTTTTTCCATTGATTTGCCTTTGCATTTTTGTTAAATGTCAATGACTTCTGCTTAGGTTTCTTTTCTTTTTCTTTCTTCCTTCTTCCTTTTTTCCTTTCTTTTTTAGATTTTCTGGCCATAGGGTGGGTGCCCTCACCAGAGACAGAAAGGGAGGGAAAGTGGGACCAGCAGATGGTAAAATGGTTATTTCACTGGATTCCCATGTAGTTGACCGCAGTTCAAGTCCTGGACCTGACATCTTAAAATTCATGCCAGGTGCATGTGTGTGCGTGCCCAAAATCCCAAGACGAGAATGGAGGAGAAGGGACTGCAGCATGGCCATACCCCCTGGGGACTGATTTCTTACTTTCTGTCTCTCTACAGCAAAAATCTCTCTAAGAAAAAAAGAGAGAAGGAGGGAGGGAAAGTAAGAAAGCACCCAGAGGGGATGGTCATGCTGCAATGCCTTTTCCATTCTCTTCTTGGATTTTTAACAGGCAGGCACATGCACCTATTGTTTTTCAAGCTGCTGAACCCAGGACTTGAACTGCACAGTGGGATCTGGCTGCCTTAACTACAACATGGGCCTGGGAAGGAAAGGGAGAGTCAAAAATTTCTCCTGGGAAGCCACAGGAGGACAGCAATGAGTGGCTCCACTCAGGATTCTCAGGGATACATTTTCACCTCACTTTGATCTGAGCAACAGCCTCTAGGCCAGTCACTTCAAGAGGGCAGCCAGGGGACCAGCAGATGGAGTAGTAGTTACATTGTTGGACTCCCACATGACTGACTGTGGATTAAGTCCCAGACTGGTGGCTTCAAAATCTCACTGGCAGTGTGTGCCTGTGTGCCCAAGAACCCAGAATAGAATGGAAGAGAAGGGATTGCGTTGTGGCCATCCTTCTTGGGATGTGTTTTTTCACTTTCCCTCTCACTATGGCTGTCTGTCTGTCTGTCTCTCTCTCATGTGACCTAAGGCAAAAACCTCTTTTAAAAAAATAATAAGAGGGACCAGCAGATAGTGGAATGGCTATGTCACTGGACTCCTCTGTAGTCGGCCATGGTTTGAGTCCCGGACCCAGTGGCTTAAACTCACGCTGGGCACGTGTGCGTGTGTGCCCAAGATCCCAAGAGAAGAATGGAGGAAAAGGGATTGCAGCATGGCCATCGCCCCTGGGGGATAATTTCTCACTTTTTCTCTCTCTCTGTCTTTCTGGCAAGTGCACATGCCCTATAGCAAAAACCTCTCCAAAAAAAAAAAGCGTGGGGGCCAGTAGATCGCATGATGGTTAAGATGCCGGAATTCCCACATGGCAACCACAGTTCAAGTTCTGGACTTGACAGTTTGCTTTCTCACTCTCTCTCGTTGTCTTTCTCTGGCAAAACTTACGCGAAAAATATAAAATAAAATAAGTAAAAAAAAAAAAAAAAGAGCGAAGCTAGGGTCTCTGACAAATTGCATGTGGGCTTGAGGACAGAGAAGAGTGGGGTAAGCAGCTGGGAGAGGCGAGAGAAGGGTGCGTGAGTCTATGACAGTTCGAGGGCTGAAGAGCACCAGATGACAGGCGAGCATCCCCATGAGAACCATGGGACAGAGATGACCAGGCCAAGGAGCGCGTCAGACCTACCACACGGCACGGGGTCATTCCCGGCTTTCCTGCTCCCTGGAGCACCGCTGTCTTCGGTGCTTCAGGTGGACTCTTCAATTCTACCCCAGGACATTGCCTCCTGCCACCGAAGCCTAGAAAACCAAATCTAGAGCCTACCTATTGAGGGCACAAACGTACCCGCCACTAGGGGCGCACTTCGTCCCAGCTCCCAGCGGCCCCTCTCAGTCTGCCGAGGCCACACCCTTGTCCTCTTGGCCACGCCCTCCGTGGTAGACAGCAGGCGTGAGCGCAACCTGGGCGCCCCGCTGTCAGAGGGATGCTCAGGATGCCTTTGTCTAACTGGCAGATGGTGTAATGCTTATGCTGGACTCCCACGTAGTTGACCGCAGTTTGAGTCCCGGACCGGCGGCTTAAAACATGCGGGTGCGGGACCAGCAGTTAGCGTAATGGCTATGTCGCTGGACTCCCACGTAGTTGACCGCGGTTCGCGTCCCGGACTCGGTGGCTTAAAACTCACGCTGGGCGCGTGTACATGTGTGCCCAAGATCCTGAGAGGAGAATGGAGGAGAAGGGATTGCGGCGTGGCCATCCCCCCTGGGGGGTGATTTCTCGCTTTCTGTCTCTCTGTCACTGTCTGGTGAGCGCGCGCACCCTAGAGCAAAACCCTCTCAAAAAAACCCCAAAAAACAAAAAACATGCGGGTGCTGTGCCTAGGATCCTGAGAGGAGAATGAATGGAGGGAAAGGAACACTGCCTTGCAGCAGTTGGCCTGGTGGCTAAGGGCTTTGGACTCCCACATGGCCCACGGCACATCGAGTGCTGGACCTGGTGGCTTGCTTTTTCTCACTTTCTCCCTCTCTCTCTGTCCTTTTCTGCTCAAATTTAAATAAATAAATAAAATTAAGTAAAAATAATTCTTTTTTTTGAGAGTTTTTTTTTTTTTTTTGCTATAGGGGGCGGGCGCTCGCCAGAGAGACAGAAAGCAAGAAATCACCCCCCAGGGGGGATGGCCACGCCACAATGGGATGGCCACGCCGCAATCCCTTCTCCTCCAGTCTCCTCTTGGGATCTTGGGTACGCACGCACACGCTCCTGGTGTGAGTGTAAGCCACTGGGTCCGGGACTCAAACCATAGCCGACTACATGGGAGTTCTGCGACATAGCCATTACGCTAACTGCTGGTCCCAAAAATAATTCTTTAAAGAAAAGAAAGAGAAAAGCAAATCATATCCTGTCTGGGCTCTCACTTGCCCTGCAGCATCAGCCCAAGGACTATATCTCTGCTTGTCTTTAAAGGTCACTAGCGTGTTGCTCAGATCTGGCTGCACCCTACACGTTACTGTGGCTGAATCCCACATGGACACGACTCCCTGCTTGGTTAGCGTCATGGACCCAGTGGCTCGAGAAACACACTGGCGCGTGTGCCCAAAAGCCCGAAAGGAGAGAGAAGTGGAAGAAAAGGGACTGGTTTCATGACCATCCCTCATAGGGGGTATTTCTCTTTCCTTCTCTCTCTCTTCCCTCCCTAAGGAATCTCTGAGGTCAGACCATGGCCCAGGCAGCCTCAGAATCATGGCCCGTGGAAGGGACTGTAAGCCTCAGACCTTTCTTCACAGGTCAGGAAAGAAGCTGGCCAAAGGTGGGAAGAGGATAGAGGGAAATTTTTTTTTTAATTATTTTATTTTATTTTATTTATTCATTCATTTATTTTTTAGTTTGACCAGAGAGAGACAGAGGGGTGAGAGTGAGAGAGAGAGGAAGTGAGTGAGAAAGCAAGCCACCAGGTCCAGGACTCGAACCCTGGTCGGCCATGTGGGAGTGTCCAGCACCTTAACCACCACACCACCTGCTGGTCCCAGGTTAGAGGGACTTTACAGACTGAGGGAAAAAGAACAGGCTGTGGCCTGAGAGGCGCCGGCGTGCTGCCCTGATGGAGTCCCAGGCAGCTGGAGTGTGCAGGGTCAGACACCTGGTGCCCCCTAGCCCTCTGGCCCCAGCTGTGCACCCTCCTGCACAGAGCCTGTTTGTCCTTTTCCTACTCCCCAGGGCCACTCAGGACCTTGCCCATCTCCAGCCTTCGACCTTGTCCACATAGCACTCCCTGGAAGAGCATCTCTGTCCTCAGAGGTAGTCAGTGCTGCATTAGCCCCAGGAGTCCTGGGAGGAAGGGGCCAGTGGGGAGGTCTCAAGCTGTCCTCCCTCTTCCCTCAGGAGTGGGATGACCAGCTAACTCATTTGCTGCAGGTGGCCAGGGGCGGGGGCAGTTGTTAGAGCACCCAAAAGCCTAGCCCCAGGTTCTATGTCACTGTCTCATCTTGGCCCAGGGGGTACCAGGAAGGAGCGTGGGGAAGGAGCTTCAGGACGATGGGCCCTGTGCGCCCTCCCCAGTACCACCTCCTGGGGACAGGGCTCCTGGTGGGGTGGGGAGGAGAGGCCAGAGCAGGGAGCAGGAAGAAAGCAGGGATGCTGCGGGGACTTGAACCCCGGCCCAGCAGTGCTGGGTGTGCCACCACCAGCACCTTTTGCTTTTTCTTCTCATCTTTTCACACACTGAAAGGTGAAAAGCAAAACCTGAACGTGGCCGTGAGCCACGTCCAGTAAAAGAAACACCTGCGGCGGCTCCAAGCCTCCTCCCATCCTGGCTCATCACCTCCCTGCCCTGACACCCCTGCAAAGGCACAGCCAGGGGGACACTCGTCCCCCCGCTTATGGCCACGTTTCCCATCATGCTCATTGCCTATCCCAACTGAAGGGGTACAGGAAGTCAGACCGGCAAACCACAGGCCGGAGTCCTGCCTGCTCTGGGACAGGGTCAGCTGTCAGGACTCTGACAGGTTTTGTGTACGTGCAGAAATTTCCTGACTCTAAGAAACTGGAGAGGCCACCACTGAGTAGTGGGACTTTACTTGCATGTAATTCCTGCTCCATGGTTTGAATTTTTAGCTCTGTATAGAATTAGTTTTATAATGACAGGAATCCATCTTTTCCTCAGAACAGGAAACGTAATAACTAGGGGAGACCTCCAACACTGGCCTGGCTCACATGCTGACAGTCTTTGGGTCTGCTGGGTCCTGGCCACCTAAGGTCCCACAGAAGTGCCCACCTGCCTCGCCATCCATCCGCTCATCTCTCAGCCACCGTCAGCTGTGGGCTCCTCTCTGGGAAGTGCCATCACTTGAAAATGAAGTTCAAAGCAGTGTCCCCACCGGCCTCTCTGCTCTCACTGGACTCGGATCTAGAGTCCAAGTTCTGGGGAGGATGAGGCCAAGTTACCAAGGTCCCAGAGCTAAGAGGTCCACGAAGCCCCCTTCTGGACCCCTGGCTGGTAATTGCCCCCAAAGTCCGCTGCCCGCAGTACCCACTGCTCCCAGTCCAGGCTCTACCTCTGCTGGGTCCACGGCGGGTCCACAGGCACCCCCACAAGGTCTGCAGTCCTCATCCAAGAGTCCTGTCCCAGCCTGTCACGGGGGAGGGCCCTGGAGCCCCTCCTGTCAGCCCTGAGAAGTGCAGAAGCCTGCCTCGGCAGGTCCAGGAGAGAAACTGAGGCTCAGAGAGGGCCTGAACTGCTCAGGGCACACAGAGGTCAGCCATGCTGAGAACCAAATCCTCTAGGCATCCAGGTGCGTCTGAGCGGAGTCTGGCCCACTTCTCTCTCTCTCACATCCCCCCACAAAGTCTGTGGGCTGGGAGCCAGGCCTGCAGGCCCAGCCTCAGCCCCACGAAGGGGCAGGTAACCTGTTGGGCCCGCTGCCTCCATCCCTGCCCATAGCCCTCATGCGCCCTCCCTCTTTGCCGAGTCCCTCTCCCTCAGCTCGGGCTCAGCACAGCGCCGAGCGCGGGCACTTACTTACTGCAGCAGAGAGGGCACGAGCGGCCGCAAGTCCCACCTGATGACGGAGGACAACGCTCTGACCTGACAAGGCCTCAGAAATGGGGACATTCAAAACACACTCTGTAAGACGAGCAGAGAACGGATTCAGCGTGTTAGTGAAGAAACCTTCAGCGTGTGCTGCAGGAACTCAGGGGGTGACGACATGGGAGGGGAGCCCTGCCACCGGGTTGTAGGGCGACATTCAGACGGCTTCCAGGAACCACTGGAACCATCTGGGACCACTGGAACCATCTGGAGCACCCAGCACAGTGAGTGAGGAGAACCAAGCAGCTGCCCTTCCCTTTGGACAGGGGCGAAGGCTGACCAAAAGCAGCCTGGAGGCATAGAAGGGGATTTGCCCTGAGGTGTTTGTGACTGCACGACTTACAACAGAAGTGCTGACTGGCCAGTGGTCCAGGCAGCAGCGGAAGCTCACACCCTGAGATGCCCCAGAGGAGTCCACCAGAATGTGTGGACTATCTCGTTATGAGGAATTGTGTCCCCAGCAAAACACGAACTGGAAAAAAAGCTAAATAACTACCAGTCACAGCAGTGACAAATGTGTAAGAGGGCAGACAGCAGAGAAAAAGATGTAAAGATAGTTTCAAACTACCCATAGCTCAGTGGTTAAGTGCTCTGTGGGCAGGGCTGGATTCCACAGGCTCAACTGAGGTCAGAATCCCAGGCCCAGGAGCTTGAAAAACATGCCAGGCACATGTGTGCATGTGGACATATGCCCAGGATCCTGATGGAATGGGGATTGTGGTGTGACCAGACCCCATTAGGGGACACTGTCACTCTCTCACGTGCCCTCTGGCATTAAAAAAAAAGAACAACAAAAGGTTCTCATGAAAATTACCCCTAAGATATGTCAGTCCAGTGCAGACAAGACCGTGGTGTGCGTGCACAAGCATAGGTTCACTGTCAACGTCAGACATGGTGAGCTCCGAGCAGGAAGCACTCCGCAGAACAGTCATTTATGTTGTTAGGAATCTTGAGGAACCAACGCTGCATCGAAACACATGGAGTACAGCTGGGTGTGGTGGCGTACTGCCTGAAGTCCCAGCTACTTGGGAGGCTGAAGTAGGAGGATCACAAGTTCAAGGCCAGCCTGGGCAATAAAGCAAGACCCTGTCTCAAAACAAAACAAAAACAAAACAACTGTCCCCCCCAAAGAAAAAAAAAACATCCCAAACCCCACTTGGAGTAAACTGGTTAAGCCACCTCCAGGGCAGCAGAAAGAACCCAGAGAGAATGTACTCATGCTTCTGACCATGCAAAGATAATAGACCAGAAAACATCAGGATGTGCAAGGTGACAGAGTAACTTCTTGACTACTTTAGAACATTTATAAAAATAATCATATTGGGCCTTCGTGAGATTCCACCATGGTGTACCGAGGCCAGGGCCAGAAAGCGCAGAAGGTGATGGTGCAGCCCATCAACCTCATCCTCAGAAACTTGCAGAATAGATCCCGGACTCAGGTGTGGCTCTATGAGCAAGTAAATATTTGGATAGAAGGCTGCATCATTAGTTTTGATGAGTATGTGAACCTTGTATCAGATGATGCAGAGGAGAGTCATTCTAAAACAAAGTCAAGAAAACAACTGGGTCGGATCATGTTAATAGGAGATAATATAACCCTGCTACAAAGTGTCTCCAACTAAATGATAAAGTGAGAACTTGCTGAGAAGACACTAGTTTGTTCCCTTCATGGAGAGTATAGTCCTAAAAATTTGTTCGTATTGTTTTGATTACCCTTATGTTATTATAAGTTGGCAAGAAATGCTGTGGGATTGTTTTTATTAAAAAAAATATATAGGGACCAGTGGGTGGTGCTGTGTTTAGGGCACTGGACTCCTACGTGGTTGACCATAGTTCGAGTCCTGGACCTGCCAGCATTCTTTCTCACTTTCCCTCTGTCCCTGTGTCTGTCTCTGGTCAAATTAAAAAAATAATAATAATGACAATAATAAATAAAATTAAATAAATAATTCTTTTTAAAAATAATCGTATCTTAGGTATATTAAAAAATGTAGAAATTTTACAGGCCACTTCCCCATATAACCAATCATGAAACCAGAAATGAACTACAAAATAGCTAAAAAGATAAAATTACCAAACATTTGGAAATTGTAAAGCATAGTCCTAAATAACTAAAGCCAAATTATGTATCAGAACTGAAAGCACAGACATATAGGAAATAAAATCAACGAAGTCTTGTTCTAAAGACAGGCAGGAAGACTTCACCTCACGTTGGCCCACCAGGCCGGGGTCTGGCTCTCTCCCTTCAGCCCCACCTTGCACTCCTCCTGGCTCCAGCCAGTCCCTCCATACCTCAGTGTCTTTCTTCAGGCCCTTCTCTCAGCTGGGAACGGGCTTCCTTCCGGCTCCTCTCACCCTCCCAGTTAGAGCTATCGCACCTGCCATTAACTCGTGATCTGTGTAATCGCCCTCTGAGGCCTGTCACCCCCGACACACACACACACACACACACACACACACACACACACACAACATTTCAGCTTTACACAAACCATGGTGAAGGCAGGGCCAGTGACCCTTTATGTATAAAAAGCCAATAAAATAGATTCCTTGAAAGTCTATTCAAAACAAAAACTAGGAATAAAAAAGTGAAGAACTGTTCATAAAGAGGACACTTTACACTTAAACATATGATAAAGGCAATTTTCTTGAAAAGTTCACTTTGAAATTTTGACTTATGATGAGACAGAAATATTGAATATCCCAGTAACCTGAGAGAACTTAAGCTTTGGAGAATCACGAACTCCAAGAGAAGTGCCCGCCCAGCTGATGTCCCGGAACCCAGCATGCTCTGCCGCCTGTGGAGAGCAGGGTGGGGGGGGCTGACCTAATGTCTCCTGCCACTCAAAGACAGGGAACAGCGGCCTGCGAACACAGAAGTGCCTCCCCATACTGCTCATCTCCGTGCAGCACAAACCAGTAACTACGTCTGAACATTATTTTGTCTCATTTCTGCATGAGGAAATGGACTTTGAGAATGTAAAAGGCAGATCATCAACTACAATGTAAGATATTTAGGTGGATACTGACTTAAACAAGTTGTAAAACAGCAAAACTCCAGATCTTTACATTTAAGACATTTACAAGACAATTAGAAATTTAAACACCAAAGGCTGGATGGTGGTAGAATGCAATGCTCTGTGAGGAGGCCAGCAGATGTTGTGGAGGTTAAAGTGGTTGGATCCCACATGGCCCATTGCATGGTTCAAGTCCCAAACCTGGTGGCTTGAAAAACACACTGGGTGTGTTTGAGTGTATGTCCAAAATTTTGAAAGGAGAATGAAGAAGAAGGGATTGCGGCACAGCCATATCCCTGGGGGTGGTGGTGGTGGTTTTTCACTTTCCCTCTCTTGTTCTTTCTCTGTCTCTGTCTCCCAAGAGCACACACATACCCTATAAGAAAAAAAAAATTCAAAAATTAGTTTTATTATTATTTTTAATATGCTCACCAGAGACAGACAGAAAGAGACAGAAAAGAGGAAGAGATGGGGACAGCAAGAAAGCAAGCTGCCATGTCCAAAACTTGAACTGCAGTCAGTCATGTGGGAGTCTAGTACCTTAACCACCATGCCACATGCTGGCCCTTCATGGTCAAGTGGTTAAAGGAGCCAGATATCACATGCTCAAACACAGTTTGAATCTTGGCCCCAGGGGCTTGTGCGTGCCTACCCAAAGTGTCAACAGCATGGAGAAATAAAGACGATATTGCGGTGTGATCATGCCTTGTTGGGAGGTGCTTTCTCTGTCTCTGGTGAGTGTATGTCCCTCTACAAATTAAAGCAATATGTTTTAATATCAGTTGGATTTTTCATGACATTAAGGAAGTATTGGTGCTTTTTAGGTTTAAAAAAGATATTAATTAAAAAAAGTAATTATTAATTTTATTTTTTGCTTTAAAAAATTATTTTATTTATTTTAATTTGACCAGAGAAGGACAGAGTGAGAGAGAGAAAGAGGAAAAGCAAGAAAGTAAGCTACCAGGTCCGGGACTTGAACTGTAGTCAGTCATGTGGGAGTCCAGTGCACTTAACCAGCTGCTGGCCCCTATTGATTATTATTTTTAATTCACCACAAGGCACATGCACTCACCAGAGAGACAGAGAAAGAGAGAGAGAAGGAAAGTGAAAAAGCAAGCTGCCAGGTTTGGGACTTGAACTGTGGTTTGCCATGTGGGAGTTCAGTGCCTGAACCACCATGCCACCTGTGGGTCCCAAAGGTATTAATTTTTAAAAAAGAATAATTGTTTCTGACATAGACAAAATATTTATGAATAAAATAACAGGATGCCTGGGATCATTTGCTTCAAAATAACCCAAAAGGTGGAAAAGACAGAGTGTAGCTGGAATAAGATTAGTCATGAGGTGAGACCCGCAGATGGCATAACGGTTTCATTGCTGGACTCTGGCGTAGTCGACTACGGCTCACATTCTGGACCTGGCAGCTTAAAACTCACGCCGGCATGTGTGCGTGCATGCCCAAAATCCCAAGAGGAGAACGGAGGAGAAGGGATTTCTCACTTTCTGTCTCTCCCTGTCTCTCTGGCAAGCCCACATGACCTATAGCAAAAAATCTCTCTTAAAAAAAAAAAAAAAGATTAGTCATGAGGTGCTGTTGAAAGCAGATGATGAGTGTGATACTATACCATTCTGTTTTTATAAATGTTAAAAACTTTCCTTAATAAAAAAACCCACGTAATTTAAGAAAGGTGGTCAAAGTTGTGTTCAGAAATTATGATGGTTCAATATTCCACTAGTATTAATTAAATAATAACCCATTAATAAAATTAATAAGATGGTGAAAGGAGAAAAACCTGATGCTCATATCTCAAAAGATGTAGGAAGGACAACGGAATAAATCCACTAGTATGATTATTAAAAAACAAATACACTTCCAAGCAATTTAGTCACAAATGGGAACCCTTTCCCACACAATTAGAGGGTGACATTAGCTGACATCACATGTGAAGGTCACATCAGAACAGCACTCCTCATACATTTCCCATGTAAGAACTGCACACTGTTCTCTGCTTCTCACTGTCTGCGGTCCCACAGGGGACACTCCCCTCCAAACTTTATCCATTTACACAACACCTTGACTTTCTTTTTCTATAACTGAACACAGCCAGTCAGTTTTTTCTACCTTAAATCAGTCACTTTTATGTCAAAGGATGTTATCAAGAAAGTGCAAACACAATCCACAAAATGGGAAAAAATATATATAAATTACGTAGAATATATAAAGTACTCTTACAACTTAACAATAAAAAGACGCCAAATTAAGAAGTGGACAGAGGGTCAGCACAGACACTTCTCTGAAGAAGACCAACAGAATATGGGCCAACAGGACATGAAAAGGTGCTTGACATTGTGAATCATCAGAGAAACGCAAATCAAAATTACATGAGATACTACTTCATACCCATTAGGATGGTTATAAGGAAAAGTGTTGGTGGGAATGTGGAGAAATTTGACCCCTCAGCCATTACTGCTGGGAACGTAAAACAGAACAGCGGCACTGGAAGACAAATTGGCAGTTCCTCAAAGAGTAAAACACTGAATTACCATATGACCCAGCCTAGGCATACTCCAAAGACAATTAAAAATAGGTCCACACAAAAACTTGTACACAGATGTGTATGGCAACATTACTTATGGTAGCCCGAAAGCAGAAACCACCCAAATGACTGACTGATGAACAGATAAATAAAATACTTCAGTGGTAAATCCACACAACAGTAGATCCAGACAATGGAACATTGCTCAGCTTTTAAACATCGAAGTATTGTTACATGCTACAACACGAATCAACATGAAAATATTGTGCCTCCTGAAATGAAACAGACATAAGGCAATTACTGCATGATTACACTTACATGAAGTACCTGGGGTAGGCAAATTCAGAGACAGAAAGTATAACAAAGATTACCAGGGACAAGGGGCAAGGGTTGTAGAAGTCACTGTCCTATTTGGAAGGGTGAAAGAGTTCTGAAATGGATAGTGGTTATAGCAGTATAACATAACGAACAGACTAAGCCCCACTGAACTGTATACTTCAGAAGCATAAGTCTTAGAGTATGCCAGTCATCTCTCCATTTTTAGAAGGAAACATGAATTTATTCTAAAAGAAAACTTTATATTACCATCATAAAAGGAGAATCGGTCATATAATAAATAAAATATAAAAATATATTATTATATTATATTATTATATAAAAATATAAAAATATCAGATATCTATTAGCAGATCAACCAAACTTATCTTTTGGATCCCCAGTAAAACGAACACCTCTTTGGATTGCTCAGGGGCTTATGTGCAGCAAGACCCCCTCCTCCATTTGCTGAGAGACCCTGCAAGTGGGTCAGCTCACAAAGCTCACTGCTGGTGAGTAATTACAGCCCATGCAGACAAGATGGGAAGAGAGAAGCATGAAAAGGGAGTAACTCCTATGGACAACATAACAGTCGAAGATGATTGTTACTTACTTGGAAAAAACACAAGAGAATAGAGCTTACTCCAGAGCTTAGAAGAACGCCAATCAGAATGCCTGCATTATTTCACTTACCCCATTCCACTTCTGAGATAGACAATATGATCATTCTTTCAGGTGGGGAAACTGAGGCAGAGAGACGGTACGATAAATAAAGGGCAGGTTCCAGGATGAGAATGAGACTCAAAAGCCTACACTTTTAGCCAAGATGCTTTTTGCCTCCCAGTTGATCCTAATAGTGAGGTGCAGCATATTTGCAAAACAAAGTGTATGTGTGTCTAACCATATACTACCAGGATCGGAAATTTTAATAGAAAAACATATCCAACCACAAAACAGAGTATTAAATGTCAAGGAACAAACTTTATGAATGTGCATAACCCACTTAAAGAGAAGTCCGAAGCTCCCTGGAGAAGGAAAACCATCCTGTCCTGAACAGACAGGGAGACGGTTTCTAAGTGGGAAGTCTCAGTATTGTAATATATTTACAAAGGTAATGAAATTGCAATAAAAATTCAAATGCTCTTTTACAAAGAGTGACAGGGTACTATATTACCATTATCAATTGACTTAAAGCTGAAATAATAAAACATTGGTTGCACAAGGGAAAAAGCTAGTAGCACTAGGAAGTCTGGTCTATTTAGGCTATAACTGATATGTATTTTAGTGGCCATTTTAAAACAACTAAATTAGGTTCCTACCTTATACTGTACACTGAAACAACTTCTGGAGGAATTAAAGAGTTAAATGTTGAAAACATAATCATAAAAGAACCAGAAGAAAATATGGTCGGGCTGACATATGGTGTGGTGGTTAAAGTGCTGAACTTTCTTTTTTAATTTTTTTTAAGAATTAATTTATTTTAACTTTTATTTATTATTATTATTTTCCAATTTGATCATAGAGAGAG